TTTGCTAAGTGAGTGTATGTGGCACTATTTGATGCTGGACTCACTTTCTTCAAAATCTGGCAGGGAGTTGTCTGAAAGTAGGTAACTTTTGCCTATCTCAAAAGCTTTTGGTAGCTACAATTATCTACCAAAAAGAACCCAAATGATGTGCGTGATCAAATTGGTTGAGTCATTGTGTGAAAATCTTTTTGAATAATCATTTTGGAGTAGAACACACATGTTTACAAATTCTACTAGTTTTCTCTTATTGTCAAGGCTGTTAGGTAATGGCATATGACTTGTATTCACAACCACTGTGATGTGGCTCTCACCTTTCACTTGGGGAATCCACATTTGGTACATTAACACCACTTCTAGGGAGGCTTTGAGACAGAAATTCTTGGACTCAAATCCTGGTTCCCCTACTGTGTTACCTAGGGCAAGTTACCTAACCTCTCTGATGTCTCTCATATATAATGGTAGCTGTCTTTAATAGCTCACTTCTATATATATCATGTGATTTCATACTCATAATAACTTCGGTCAATGAGACTGGACAGTAATATATTCTTATCCTCAACTTATATTAGGAAAACTGAAGTTCAGAGAATTTTAAGTGACTAAGTGACTTGTACAGAGCCTCATATTAGTAAGAGGTGGGACTTAGTACATAAATATAAACCTGTTGACTCAGATTAGAGCTGAAAGTATTTGGAGGCATGATTCAGCCATCTAAATATTAATGAAGAACACACTCTACATCTGAGGTTAGTTGCCTGCAGGCAGGGATCTATTGCCACAAACTTGCATAGGTATGTGCATTGAGCTGTGTTCAGTTGGGTTTATTTTGCCTTTTTTTTTTTTTTTTTGCATTTGGGCTTAGTAATAAAAATGTAGTATTTATAAATCTTAATGGAGAGCAGCCTTTTTAAACATTTTATTTACTTATTTGAGAGACAGAGGGAAGGAGGGAGGGAAGATGGAAGGAAAAGAGAGAAAAGAGCGTGAGTGAGAGATGTTCCAGTTGGTTAGTTTACTCCCCAAATGCCTGCAATGGCCCAGGCTGGCACCGGAATCCAGGGACGAAATTCAGGTCTTCCATGTGGGTGGCAAGGACTCAATTACTTGAGCCATCATGCTTCCTAGGGTCTGCATTGGCAGGAAGCTGGAGTCAGATTTCTATGTGGGAGACAAGTGTCTTTTTGTTTGTTTGTTTTAAAGATTTATTTATTTATTTGAAAGAGAAGGAGAAACAGAGAATTTTCCATTTGCTGGTTTACTCCTCAAATGGCTGCAATAATTGGGGCTGGGCGAGGCTGAAGCCAGGAGCCAGGAACTTCATCCAGGTCTCCCATGTGGGTGGCATGGGCCCAAGCATTTGGGTCATCTTCTGCTACTTTTCCCAGGCCATTAGCAGAGAGGTGGATGAGAAGTGGAGCAGCTGGGAATGGAACCGATGCCCATATGAGATGCTGGCACTGCAGGTGGTAGCTTAACCTGCTGCACAGTTAAGAATGTGGAGTCCAAGACAGGTATCTTACTAGCTAAATGCCTGTGAGAGATTTGTCCAGGCTAATTGGGGATGATTCCCATTTACTCTGAAATCTTGGCATTTTTTTTGTGCCACCTCTTTGAAATAGATCTGATGTGGTGCCACAGCAAGAATGATTTGGTGGTGTGTGTCTAATCAGTTCCACCATAGGAAGCATTCCTTGCTCATCTTCAGGTCTCCACAGTGCAGCATTGGTGACTACCTGAACAGGAGCAACGCCGACACCTGGGTCTGAGTGCCAATTTTGCCTGTGCTCTTTATGTTGTCACATTCCCACTCTTGTATTTGTCAGTAGGGCAGACAGACCCTGCCCTAAAATATGTGCTCTGAACAGCTGTTGTGCAGGGCAAGGAAGTATTCTGAAGGTGATGACACAGTGGCTTCCTGCAAGGTTGGCTACCACCATCACTAACTTCAGAAATAATTATGCTCAGGGAACCACTGGGGGCTGACCACCGCTTCCTGATGCTTGATGGGCATACATGAATTTATTCCTGCTTTTAACTTCCTGTTTGTGAATGACTCATCCCCTTATAATTAGCCCCATTTAAGGAGGGAAGAATCCAAGGAGCAGAGAAAACACATCAGAAGGGATTTTCAAGATGGTGGCCGTGATTTAGGGCATTTTGACGGAAGGATATCATCAGATGGCTTTAACCAAAGCTAGACAAATGGCCTCATGTCAATGAGCTCCCAAAACAGAAAGCATTTTCCTCCAACATGTCTGCTTTGTCATTTAAAGAGTCTACTTGGATTGTGAAATTGCTCATTTCACCCATCCTGATGGGGCTAAACTGAGACCATAGATCCTTGGCCTTGAAATTAACCATCTTTAGCCAGTGTTTCACTTTCTGAGCAAGAATAATGACCTTTAGAGACAAGGGCTATCAGAGTCTGAAGAGGTTTTGATGACCTTGTCTAGCCTTGGCACAAGCTGAGGATGTTTATACAACTGATTTTTAAATTTTTTTTACTTATTTACTTGACAGGTAGAGTTATAGACAGTGAGAGAGAGATGGAGAGAGAGAGAGAGAGAGAGAAAGAGAGAAAGAGAGAAAGGTCTTCCTTCCCTTGGTTCACTCCCCAAATGGCCACTATAGCCAGCGCTGCGCCGATCCGAAGCCAGGAGCCAGGTGCTTCTCCTGATCTCCTATGGGGTGCAGGGGCCCAAGCACTTGGGCCATTCTCCACTGCCCTCCCGGGCCACAGCAGAGAACTGGACTGGAAGAGGAGCAACGGTGACTAGAACCCGGTGACCATATGGGATGCTGGTGCCGCAAGGCGGAGGATTAACCAAGTGAGCCAGCCCCTATGCAACTGATTTTTAAGATGCTCCTTTCTGTCTAGGAGACTGGAAATCTATCTGGGTCTCCACACACGTGGTAAACCAAAGTACTTGAGCCGTTACCTGCTACCTGTTAAGGGGCACATTATCAGGAGGCTGGATCAGAAGTGGAGGAGCTGGGGATCCAAGCAGGGTCTCTGATGTGAGAGTGGTTGTCTCAAGTAACCACTGCACAAAATGCCTGTCCTGGAATATTTGTTTGCAACTGTATACACTCAGCCCATGGATGATACCTGCTTTGCAAGTTTGGATGTTGTAAAGAGATTTTTCATAAAGTGGACTCAAGCTATAACACCAAAAAATTTGAGACTTGACACAAATAAGGGTTGGGGGCATGGGGAAACATAGGGGGACAGTAGGCTTGGCAGTGCTGCTTTACAAATTGAGCTACATGTTAGACTCTGTGAGTTTTGAAAAACGTGGATTGTGGTAGATTACAAAATCAATGTAATTCACATTCAAAGTACAGTCCTTCACTTCTTTTTTGTGAATGTTATTTCACAGTTTTCTCCATCAGCCCCTGTGGAGCCTCTTTCCACTCCTTTCCCTGAGAGTCTGGGCTGGACTTAGGGGTTTCTTCTGTCCATAAGATGCAGCAGAAGTGATTACACTGGTTCCCTGTGTAGGCCTCAGGGGAACTTGTGTGCTTGACCCTTCCTGGGCAGCCTGCAGGGGTGTAAAAGACAACAGGATTCAGTTGTTCAGATAAAGGCCACTCTAGGCTGGCCAGCTTCTAGGCCCCTGGGGAACTGACTACAGCTGCCCAAGTGAGCCCCGCCAAGACCAGCCCAAACTGATAACAGAATTGTGAGCCTTAAACCAGGGGGTTATTTTTCATAAAATTTTAAGAATTATATAAAATTAATTTTAAATTAACACAAAATATTTGTGCATATTTATGGGGTACAATAGGATACATGGGTTTTATCTTTTTTTTTGGTAGTGTGTAATTATATGTTCTTTTAAGCCTCTGTGGGTCAGAGTGATTGGTTATGCAGCAAAAGCTAACTGGCACACCAATATTTGAGGCACCTAATGAGTTGGATTAATTGGTGTGGGATGGACCTACATATCAGTATATTTTAAATGCTCTCTGAATGATTCTAATCTGCATCCAGAGTTAAAAACCATTAGTCTAGATAAAGGCACTTGGTACTTCATGAGCTGAGTTATAGGTGGGTCAGACCAAAGTTTAACTTAATGGGACTCCTTTGAAACTTAGGACATATATGTTAAAACGAATAGACAAACTCTTATCTTTAAAAAATTATTTATTTTATTTATTTGAAAGAGATGGAGAGAGACAGAGACAGAGATCTTCCATCCACTGGTTCACTTCCACATGCCTGTAATTACTAGGGCTGTGCCAGGCTGATGACAGGAGCCTGGAACTCATTCTGGGTCTGTAACGTGGGGAGAAGGAGCACAAGTACTTGAGTCACTGTGTGCTGTTTCCCATGGTGTTCCTTAGAAAGAGGCTGGAATCAGAAGTGGAGCACTTCAAACAAGGCATTATGATATGGGGTGTGGGCATTCCAAAGTGGCATCTTAACCAAATGCCAGCCTAAGAATTTTGTAATTTATTAATTTACAGAAAATAATAATCTGCAGTATTATGTATGCAAAGATATAAATTACTTCAAAAATTCTTGGCAAATGAAAAGATGGAAAGGATTTTGGGTTTAACCTATCGTAACTTCCACCTTGTACATTTGGAGAAACTGAAGACCAGAATTTGAATGATTTGCTCAAAGTTATACAACTAACTTGTAGCAGAGTTTAGATGCCATATGAATGCTCTTAGCTCCAAGTCTGTTTGTCTGCCTTGATTCTTCCACAGGGTGCAAATTATGTGGTCTTGCTCTTGACTCACCACAGGTGACTCACATGGAATCTGTATAAGGATAAGCTTAGGGTAGGTTATCTCTAAAGTTTTAATAGCTTAAGAACAAGGTACTCTTTAGAGTATCCCTGCGTTTATGTGACTGATAACTGATTATAGAATGTGCCTGCGTCCTGTTAGAGGAAGAAGTTTCAATTTCACTTTATGAAACTACAATGGGAGGCAGTGTGAGAGTGTTTGAGTCTTTCTAGGAAGGGAGAAAGAAGGCCACTGAGCCATGGTCAATGAATTAAAGCAGTTTATTTGACATTAATTGCAGAATTTACAGCACTACCATTTAATGATAGGAATAAAAATAGAAAGAATCCAGTGTAAGCAACGTTGCAGACAAAACAGGGTAGGGAGTGAGCAAAATTGAAAATGTAATTAACATTCAAAGAAATCTTCCCAAGGACAGGGAGCTTGCTAGGGGTGAGCATACCCTTGACAATGAAGAGTCATCCTCAGTCCCCCCAGGATTTGAGGGCAGCCGGTGGACATATGTCCTGCTGACTGTCCTTGGAAAAGCTGTCATCACAATCTGACTTCATATGTCTGACACAGGGCAAAGTCTGGGTTCTAGCATGCTTGGGAATACAGCCCAGGGTGAAAGGAAATAAGCATGTGGATCAGTGTGTGGGTTTTCTTTTGCAAAACAGGAGGAAGTGTGAATTTTAGGTGCATGTTTTCCTGATTTGAAATGTAAGAGGTGATGGCAAACAGAATGACTAAAAATAACAGCTTCAAGTTTCCAATGATTTTCTTTGAGGTAATATCTGTAGAAGCAAGGAAATAAAATGAGAGATGTGCATGTGACTCTCTGATCTCCTGTCCTCTTGGAATCTGAACAAACACCCATGAGTCTGGGTAGTTGGGTTCTATTAAAGTGCTGGGTTTCTGGAACCACTTTATAGAAGGCAGGTGGTAAAGGGTGTTCTTGGACAGAGAGGAATCATATTCCAGAGCTATGTCCCCATGGGTTTCTTTTCCATTTTGAAGCTTTAAACAGAGCTGGGACTTCTCTTACCACTCCGTCCTTCCCCCACTACAGTCATTTTTAAATACCATAAAGTAACCAACAGATTGGAAGAAAGGAGTGAAGCCCCACAGGCCAGCATGCAAAATTAAAAGGTGTTTTTAATACCACAAGTAAACACATCTGAGGCCGAGGCCAAAAGTGAGAAAATAGCCAAGACTGATTTGGATCTGAGAACAGAGCCAGGTGGAAAAAAAGATACTGGAACTTGTGTGGAACTGGAACTTTGATGGGAGGGTAGTTTTTCTTATGAGATTTCACCAACCAAAAAAGAACTGGCAATACCTGCGATAATGAAGTATTCATTTAGGTGGAAATATTCAAATAGGAAAAAAATTGGCCAGGCTGTTTCTCTGAAGGCCAAGAAGACACCTTCTTTGAGAAAAGTAAACAATGAAGAAAAGAACTAATTAAAATGTTGATCAATCCCTAATTATCTTTGCCCATGAAACCTTTGCAGAAAAGGCTGAACTGCTCTTGGATGGAAGGGGAAAAATAAGATTTGCTGATTGGAGATATGGATTCACAGAGAAACCAACAGCAAGTTTACTCCTGCTTCAGCTCTCTGCCTCCAAACTTCAGCAGTTCTTTATCAGCCTGTCAGTCTGAAGCTCGGGTTTTTATTTCAGAAATCTCAGCATGCCAGATGTTCTGCAACCTTTCGTGGTGCAGAGTTCTCTGGTAGCATTTGGACTTGTGTACCACAAAAACATGGTAAAGAAAGGAAGTGATATTTAATCTTCAAGGATGTACCTGTTAATGATGTGACTACCTACCCAATAGCTAGTCTTTGGATACTTCACCTTTCTTCCCAGATGGCAGGTTCCCAGTCACAGTCTGAAAAAAATCTTTCCTAGACAATAAACTGACTCTTATGCGAAATGCCAGTGAAGCCAAAGTAAAGGATATGGGGAAACTCTAAATGCTACGAGTTTTTGAAGAGGAGTTATATGCTAAGATAAAGTCTGCATTGATGGGCAGTGTTTTTTGTTGGCTCAGTAGCTGTGGTTCAGCCTGTCCCCTAAGAAAGACCAACAGCATGGGCAATGTGCAGGACCCCTGAGAGGGGAGCAAGGCACAGAGAGACAGTACAGGCTTCTTTTCCCTCTGTGTTTTTCCAGTTCAAAGAATTTGGTCTATCTAAAATACAACTTAGAAACAAAACATTAAAAACCCCTATTCAATACCTATCTTTGTATTCCAAATAATTATCTCCAGAAGTGTTGAGTGAGAAAGCTAAATGGGACGTACACAATGGGTGGGAAGAGGGCTTCTGCTCCGGAAGCGCACTGCATTGAGGAGAAGTAGATCCCTACAGATGTCAAGAGAAAGGGGACCGCCTTCATTGATGACCCAGGTGGAGTCAAGCAGATGGGTCACCACAGCCTTGGCTGAGTCAATTCAACTTGGGGAGGGTAGGTATGTGTGTGGAGTTACAGACCATTCAAAGTTGACATTTTCTCCATCTTGCCTTTCCTATACAAATCAGTTTCTGCCCTCATGCTGCCATGTGCTTAAGGGTAAGGGGTCTCAGAGAAGCTTTGGGATCCAGAAAGAGGAAAGTTAGAGAGTTCGAACCCAGCTCTTTTTAAAGCTGAAAGATACAGAGATGTCTTCCTAGTGCCCCAAACCTACCTTTTAGCCCATGACCTTCCATTGGTTTTCCAGGGCAGGCCCATATTCCCCCCTTGAGGCCACAAAAAGATAATTCCATAGTTCTGTGTCTCCAAGGAAAAGGACATCCATTAGCACAAAGCATTGAGTAAAAACCCTTTAATAACAAAATAACATTCACAATGTAGCTACTTCAGTTGTCTGGAAAACTCCGCTTACACTAGATTCAACATATCACTTTCCACAAAGTTAAAAAAAAAGGACATGAAATGGCATAACAAAATATACCTTGAATTTCATAGAGAAGTCTTCTTGGCAAATCCCAGTGAGCCAGACCTGTGTGTGGCCTGTGATAGAAAAGACTGGGCACACTCATGTCTCAGACACCCTCTGTATTCTTTGGATTTAAAATGCATTTGAACTTTGTCGATACAACAATATCTGCATCAAAAGGAACAATTTGTGGTTTTGTGAGTAGGTGAGAATTTTACTGAAATAAATATGGGTTTGATTTATTGCAGAAGAACATATAAAGCTTTCTGGAAGGTTAAACACTATTACAATCATCAACTGTCTTACAAAAGCTGATTTAAAAATTCTTGTATTCATTCCCATCTTTGGCAGATTAATTAGAAGAAAAATAAAAATACTGTTTTACAAAGCTTTCATGATCACAATGTACTTTTATAAGGCCAACTAAAACCATGTGGTTTTGTATTAATGAATACACTCCCTATCCAAAATAAAATGTGCTTGGTGGTTGATTTGGCTTTATGTCAAACATATCAGCTTGGGGAACAGGTATGAAGCTTGAGAGTGGAGCTCAGAACTTAAATATCAGAAGTTTGCCCAATCCTCTGCCGTGGAAAAATATCTTTTGAGATACAGAGACCCCGGATGACTGGGGATGGTGTTCATAATCTGTATTTGAAAACTGCTTCTACTTCCCCTTTAGAAGATGGATAGAACATTGTGGGGTGGATAGAGTCAGTTACAGTGACCTCTGACCCTAGTGAGGAGAAATTATGTTGCAGCTGCACAGGTGAATTTTTTGGGAATGGTTCTACATTTTTTTCTGAAACCACTTGGTGGAATGTCCAGGAGAGTGGACAAAAAAAAGCCAGAGAAGAATTAGTGATATTGATGCCATTTGAGTTTCTGCTGGAAACTGACCTGACAACAAAATATTAGAAGAAACCACACACAGTCAAAAATTGCCATTGCCGAGCCAGAGACCCAAGAGAGCTAAAGCTGGATGAATTAGCATCCCCAGGTGTGTGGCCAGATGGGTCTGAGGTCATGAACACAAGGCCAAAATCACTCTTTCTAGTGGAAATTAAAAAGGCAGAGGTGAGTTGCTTTTCTACACTTGTTTTCAAACCCCTCTTGGATACAGTGATGTAACTGGGTTATGAGGATCCCAATTTGTGGAATGCAGGTTGACTAACTCAACTTGGAATGACCTTTTTCATTATAAAATTTGAACCCGATTCAGTCTCATTTTGAAATCCCAACAGATGTGAAGGTATTTTCGAGGTGAGACATCTCCCAATAAAACCAATATTACCACTGTCTGAGGCTGAACTGTGTACATTTTCACAGGTTAATGATACACAACTGTTCCACGACTGCTAACAAACAATAGGCGTCCATGCATAAATAAAGTCTGTGAACCGAAGGGGAGGATCTAGTTCAAAATGAAAAAATGTTGCTATTAAAACCACAATGCATCACACAGCTAAATTTTTAGCTTCATGCATAAAATTATAGCACTGATTGGCAGTTGCTAATTATAATACTACACTGTTAACACAGAACAATTAATTGTTCAGACCAAGTAGCACAAAAGTAGAAAATAATCATTTTTTTTAACAGAGCAAATGAACACAGATTGTTTCTTCAGCAAAATATGAAACTGTAAACTTTGGGCTCATTCTGCAACTTTCCCCAATCCAGAATAAATAAAATCCAAAGGGGAAAAAAAAGAACATACATTTTCTTTTTAAGCGCACCTTTTTGTCTATTACAAAAGCACAACCTAAAACGTATAAAGCTTTTTTTTCTTTTTTTTCTTTTTTTAAATCACAGTTACCAAAAGAAACAGTGAATAATTTATTACATACGCTATAATAACATTACTCTAAACACTATTATCTATGAGGTATATCTGAGAAAATTCGGTAAGGAATTGCGCGGTCTGCATTGCCAACATGCCCAGGTTCATATTAAAGCTTTGGAACCATGAAGAACTAGAAAAGGGGAAGAACGGGGCGGCAGGAGGAGGAAACATAGAGAAAGAACCTTTGGTATTAGTACAAATCTTGTTCTTTGCAGGGTTGCATTGCAAAGCACCACAGTACAATAAGCCCACCAATTTACTGCATGGAGGCCCAGTTGAAGCTGAGGTATTCACAGGAAGGATTAAAAAAAGCACAGAGAGGTCCAGACTGGCTAAATCGTTGCTTTGGTTCAAGCAAGGCACTCGTCCCGTGGTTATGTCACACTTTGCAAGTGAAGCATGAGGCTTGAGGGGGGATTGCTGAGGAGGGGTCTGCCACCGGGGGATGTTTTCTGTGTTCAGGCTGCCATCGCTCTTTCTAGGTTCTCTCTTATGGGGGCTTGGTGGTGGGAAGGCTGGGGAAGGTAATATTGACTTACAGGGGAGCATTCTGCTGCCCTATGAGTTAAATCATTTTGTTGGATTCTCAGATTGTCTGAGACTTCTGTTTCCAATAAAAATCTGGGAAGAAAACCAAAGCAATTTGCTGATTGGAAGAAAGGCCTTACAGGTTTACCTTGTATAGGGAGAAGAGAGCGCTGTGAGCCTGTTGAGACAGCAGGGAACTTGTCTGTATGTCAGGATGGTGCTTAGAAAGTCACAAAGAGGGCAACTGAATGTGTCCTACAGTTGTCAGTCTGTCTTCTAAACTCTACTAGCTACCCTCCATTGATGCATGGAACTGACAAGTTGATTGGGTCTTTCCTGTCTTAGCTTCTCTTTCTAAATGGGTTCCTTAAAAGCTCAGAATAACTACATTACATGAAATGCAAAATACCAGTACTCAGTGGAAAGCATTCAAGATAGGAGGTGGATCTTTGCATGTGTCTAAAACCCATTTGATCAAAAGCTGAGAAAGATTCTATGACTAACATCTGGATCATTTTGATGGATGGATCATAATAGTGATTTAGTCATTTGATAGAATTAAAAGAAACATAAAACCAATTAATTCCATGAGTAATTAGAGAAGAGGGAAGCAACTTAAACTGACATTAATTTCTCTGGAAGTCTTAGATTTTTCATTTACAATGAATAACCAAATGATGTGAAGCTTAAACTTCCCTCATAAATACAGAGTTGGCTTAGCAATGAAGTGTAAGCACCCAGAATGTAAAGCTGGAGAGCCGAAATGTCATATGTATAAATGGTGATCAAATGTTCTTAATAAATGCTGACTTAAAAAACTATAATAATTAAACTCAATCAGATAAGGGTGAACCTTCTCCTCTCACTGAATCAAAAGCTTATTTATACAATACTGTGTAGTGGAGCGGTTAAGAAGCAGTCATCCTGTGGGCTCAGTAATGCCTGGATGAGCCCTGATATTTCAAAGCTGATTACCTTTATTAAGCAACTGATTGTATATGACTATGTGGAGATATAACTGGACAGACACAGAAAATGCCTGTGGCTGTTTCCGCAGAATGAAGTGTCAAGGGATAAACCACAGTGTCTGATGATGGCTAAAGGACTGCCACCTTCCTGTCTGCCCACATGTGACCTGTCTCAGGCCTAGGTGACACTGCACCATGGGCAGTGCACTGGGGTGGAGCCAGGAGGCTTACGTAGCCTTCGTCTCTAGGTAGTCATTTGACTGAAATAACTGTGTCACTCCTGCAGCCCTAGGGGCTGGACTAAGGGATTTCTAAGGGCCTTTCCAGCTCTGTTGTCCAGTGGTTATGAGTTGCTGTGGTTTAGTAATTGGAACTCTTTCCTGTGACGGCTCCTAAGTGGGGACAGGCTACGGCTAGGACTGAAGGCCATTTCCAACCAGTATTTTTACCCATTTGGAATCAGAATTTAAGGAATCCAAATATAATAGTGTCCAAACTTGCACCCCTGAACATGAGGAGGGGACAGCAAACAAATGAGCGAAACACAGAAAATATCCCTTTCCAAATTAGCAGCCACCATCGCATAGATAATCATTTCTTTGGGGTATCTGAGCTGTGGCTGTACATACCATACATCAGAGAGAATAGTTCAAATTATAAAAGAGCACAGGCAAAACGCAGACCGCACAGAGAAAGAAATCTTTGGTATCTTTGGTGTCATCAACACGATTAAAATTACACAAGGAAACAGTCAGTGAGGTAGCCTCCTTTGGTTCTCACTAGAAATAGAAAGTTTTTTCTGTTTTTCTTTTTTCTGCTTTTTTTATTCCTTTTTTTGTTTTGTTTTGTTGCTTTACACACACACACACACACAGAGTTCATTCTTGGAAGCAGCTAGTGTAAGGGTTTCTCTCTTTTTGTTTATGATTTATTTTTTTCCAGTTTCTGTATAGAAGCCCCGAAATTCAGGCTGGTGAGGCAGGGTCTCAACTTAAGTTTTCTGAATGCACAAGTTCAGGTTGAATAGTCATTGCTTGTCCACGAAATTTTGCTCTGTTGTTCTGACAGCAAACAAACTGCAGTGCTCTCTGTTGTTTTAAATAAAAAATATAAACTATACAGTGCACCTTTCACAGATGCTGAATAAGTTAAATAAATAAGTTACAATAGGAAGGCTCTGAGGGCCTCAATAACTAGGAAGTGAAGTTCGCCTGGTACCAGGTGGGGCTGCGAACTTAAATTAAATAATTTAATAATTGTTACTTAACCTATTTTAAAAGTTAACTCAAGAAGGAGAAATATCCCCAATTCTGCTTTTTTTTTTTCTGTAACCTGTAGTTAATTCTTCCCTGCCTGTAACAGAATTTTACTGCTTTATAAAGCAAACTAAACTTCAAGAGTCATCTAAATAGGATTTTGCATCTCTGATGCACCATTGGTTTAGATTTTGATAAATAAGCACAAGAAATAAAATCCAACAAAGGAAGGATGATTAAATAAGTACCCAAATCCTATACATTGCAGTACTAAAACTAATTTAAATAAATTAATTACAGTCACCGTACTTAGCTTGTTGGGTGATAACCCAAAGAGACAAGTTGGAAGTTGTGTGCACTTTTTGGCTGACAAAATGTGTAACCTCTTTCTGTGTCTAAAATTAAAATAAAGCAGTAAATTATAATTTCTAAAGCCTTTTCACATTAAAGACCATTTAGATGTGACAAGCATGAAAAAAAAATCACCCCCCTCCCCCCAGCTGGCACAGCCTCCACAAGGCCATGTCACCATCATCTCAACCCTGGAAACCAGAGCCCACTTTCTCCCCATTGCTTTGCACATTATTATTTTTCTTTCTTTTCCTTTTTTTTTTTTTTTTTAATTTTTTGGTCCCTTTTCAGGTCTTTGGATTTAGCTTTAGTTATGAACGATCCAGAATAAAGCTATTCAACCGAAGCCATCAAGCATAGGTGTCATTCTGATACAGGTGATTGAATAATATCCAGAGTTTCTTGAAAGTTAAGTTTACCTTGGGTGTGCCCAAATGGAAGTAATTCCAAGTGTACAAAATGGAGATGCTGGGATACTTTTTTCCCCTTCCTGTACTTTGGTTTTCAATGTTACAATAAATAATAATGAAGACAATGTATATTGTAGAAGTAAAACATACATGTTAATTATTTAAAATTTATTTATCGTAACAGATTACAGTAGAGATGTATTAAGATGTCTGTACACACTTGTATGTACACAGTCTAGACACTTATAGGTATTGTGTGTTGCTGTAAAGACATGAGTGAGAATACATATCAAAATATGTATCTAAATCTGTATACATCCAAGCTGACAGACTGTGTAAGCTTTAGGCCAACTTAGCTATCAAGATTTATGCTACACCAAATGCCTACTGCTAAAAATGGAGCAGAGTGGAACATTTCCTTTGGATGAATGAATCTGTAGCAAGGTGTTTTTTCTCCACTAGAAAGGCATTAGCTGTTTAATTCCAATTAACCTAACTCAAAAATCTGTATGGGAAGGTTGGGCTCTAGCTTGGATGTGCCTCAACCTGTCAGAGTCATTTTGGTACCATTTTGGACAATGAGGGATTGTGAGATTCATACCATGGCCCATCAGCTTCAATTATAAGATATATTTCTATCTATTTACATGGGGGAAGGGTTCCTATATTAATTTTTAAAAATTATTTTTGTACTTTATTCTGGGACTTTCTAAAACAAACAAAACTCCACTCCACCCCTGACTTTAGAAAGAAACAAATCATTGATGTAAATAGGAATTGGGTCATCCACATTTAAAGCCAATATCATTATCTTTTGAGATTTATACAACCAACTGGGGTGTCAGTCTTCCTTCAGTAATGATTTCTGAGGCTTTATTTTAAAACTTGGAATTTTTGTTGTTTCAGAAATAACTTGTTTTTAAAAGTAAAGAATTATCACAATCTAACCAGATTTGTAGATAAATTTCAAAAGATACAGGTATACCAGGTCTATTCCTTCTTCTACCACTTTCCATTCCCTCATCCTAGTTAGGCTAACAAATCTGAATCACACAGCATTAGCAACAACAACAAGAAAACTCAACTCTAATCTGTTATTAATCTAGAGGGTTATTCTCAAAGTACTTGTAACTGGGGCTTGTGGTAATCCCTTACCGCGCGTATCATCTCTTTTTCTCTTTTTAAAAAATAGAATTTATTTTTCTTCAACAAAATTGGAACCCAGTCTGTTCTTTTGTTTAAAAAAAAATTCCAACTATACAACCTCCTGAAAACCCAAGTTCATTCTAAAGGCTTGCTGTCATGACACTTTGATACACAGATACTCCTGTAATTCTGCCAATGCTTTCAGAAGTGTGAAAGTTTCTCCCCACACCCAGGAAGTAGTGATTTTTTAAAAATCGTTTCAACTTTAATTTCTTGTCACTAATAGGTGAGTGCCCAGCATAGACATGGTAAAATGGTTGATTATCCAAAAGGTCCTATATTTGGCTTCGAAATACATTGTTTGACTTTAGCAGAATTACCTTTCTAATTTTGATTTTATTTTGCCTTGAAGTGAAAAATTAAGCATGGCTTTCCTAACCTTACAGTTGCCAAGAGCTTGTGGGAGAAGAGCAGCTGTCTAGCATACTCTGATTTCTCCAGAAGCAGTATCATGCTAGGTTCTTCCTGGCTCAGTCTAGCCCATGCCTTTATGGAGAACAACCTAAAGCACCTTTTACATTTTAGCAAAAGTTTTCAATACTGGTGTTGAGGTTTTACCACTGCTGCTATTTTCCTTTGAAAAATAAATGTATTGGCTCTATCTTCTTTTTAATTTCCTGGAATGAAAGAATTACATCCCCAGTACCAAAATCACACTGAAAAACAAAGCTAGCCTATTTATGTAAAGGAATGAAGAAAAAAAAATGTCCCCACTCAATAGCCGTAAGCATTTGTATTTCTACTGCCTGTCAAGTTTGGTGGAGAACTGTCCCTTTACACTGTCCCATTCATTGCTGATGGCTGAGGCATGCCTGGAATTTTTCTTGGATTAAGGAAATGGATTCTAAACTATAACCAAGTCCATATGGTTATGTTCTTTGAAATTCTTAATTTAAAATTTTAAGATACTTGAGGAAACACACTGGGTTAGATTCTATTATCTTTCAATATAGCATTTTTTTCAGATGTCTAACAAATTGAAATTTTGCATGACTTAAAATTTGGATACAAAATGTATAGGTACACATGTATTTTTATAAATGTAAATAATTTTTTAAATGCAAGCATTTCTCTTAGATAGGACACTATCTGGTATGAGACATTTGTCAGGCGCTACTGCAGGGAGTTACTGCCTTTTCTTACTTTGCAACATCTTCCTCCACTCATCAGAACATTGGTTTGGCCAGTGTTGAAATTTCAGGGCACAAAGACAGCCTCTTTTGGTCTAGACATCTTTAGAGGATGTCCAAGACCAAATGCTGAGGTTAATGTGTCGAAGAGTCACTAATCAAACCAAGTAGGCTTGGTTCCTCAATCTAACCTCAAGAAGAACAACCATTTCCAGTGGCTACAAGTCACCAGGACTCATTTAGAAATTCCAAAGTTGAAATTCATCTTTATCAACCCACAGGGTAGCAACCCCCAGCTGAAATGTACCCTTCTCTGAGTCTTCTGATGAAGGGTACATGAAGTATGAGCACAGGATAAAGGGACACAAGGGAGCAATCAAGGAGTGACTCCCAGGCAGGATGAATCACAAAAATCACAGAGAGCCTCATTCTCTTACAGCTCCACGACGACTTCCCCTGCACGGTGGGAGCAAGGAGGGAGACAGTGGAGCTCTCCTGGGGGAGGATTCTGGGACTCTCCTCAAAACTTGCTTTATATTTTCTCTCCAGGATTGCAATATCCCCTACCCCAACGCCACCACTGCCCCACCCTAGAGCTAGCTGTGGTTGCAACACAGGCTTGTCAATGCAAACTGGCAATTACCACCCTGAGGAAACCTAATCAGCCCATTGCCACAGGAGCTGGACTTCCCCGTGAGAAGTCCCTTTTGGTGGATCCACTCACTGAGGGGCTCTGGAAAACCCTGATGGACAGGCATCTCCTGGAGGACAGGAGAGTGTGTGGGGCTGGCCTCACATCCCATGCCTGATGGGAACAGACCCCTGAGCCTTCCCAGCAGTTGCAGATGAGCACTGCACTGTCCATGGCTCAGCTTTGGTGGATGAACCTCACTCACCATCTTGACCATGGTTGAGGCATAAAATAGGGCTTAAAATTCAAATCAAGCTCATTGACCCCATGGATCCATTTACCAACAGGTTAAATGTTGAAATCCTTGAACTTGACTTTCAACCTTTCCCAGGAATTTTCATAGAAATGTGAATACTCCACATCATCCACAGTGGCAAATTAACTCTGAAATGGCATGAGAAATGAGCAAAATTCTGAACTGAATACTTAGCAAATGAAGCACTTGACAAAAACAAGACATGAATTTGGACAGCAAGAATTTTGAGTGATCACCAATGTCAAGTTGATCTATATATGTATTCATATATTATATATATCTTTCTTTAGAAATGCAACTTTACAGCTGATTTTTAAAAAGCTAATAGAAAAGTAGAAACTGGCAATTATTTTTACATGTTTTCCCCCACCCCCAAATGAAGCCCTGTTAGGATGTAGCAGTCCCATGAAGACGAGACTGTAAACTCCTCTATAAACTCTTTGGTTCTGTGGCTCGGGAGAGGATGTGTCACCAAGACCCCCCTCCCCCTTGACTCTCACTCCCCTTTCCTCCCTTGATGATCAGACTCTGAACATAGAAGGAACCAAGTCTAAGGGTTAAGCAAAGAACATTCAAGTGACAATACCAGTCCCCACACTGCTGAGCAGAGAGGGGAGACTCATTCAGTATCCCAACATCTTGAACTTGGAGTCCATGGAAGCTTTTTGAGAGATTCCATGTTGGGGTTAAAAAACCCATAAGACAAACTTAAAGGGAAACAATAACATCAAATAAATGACCCTTTCCTTTTGTTGCTCAGAGAAACAAAATTGATTACCTTTGTACAGATCAATGGCGCTATTAGTATTTTAGCCAGGCAAGAAGAGATAATGAACTGAAACAAAAGGTGTGAGAAATCCTCATCTTTGGTATTGTAGCTGTTGAGGTTTCTGTTGCTCTGTTCCGTGTTCTTTTGAAAAACTGCATAGGCACAAATTAAAGACAATCTTCAACTTTAAGATTACCGCGTGAGTTGTCAAATGAAGCAGCAGCCACTGAGGCCCTTCCTTACTTCTATTCTTGTCTCAACCCTTTCTTTAAAATCTGCTTCCAAAAATTGTCCCAAGAGGTCTGTTTGAACACAGTGTGTCTCGCCGTTTTTTTGTTTTTGTTTTAATTTCTGTCGTGTTTCCTTCTTGGTGGTGATTTCCACTGATTCACGGATTTATTTATTCACTTTAATGGGACAGTTTTGTTTGTTGCAGAAGTAGGTGCAGAAAAAGTTTCTTTGGTTTCGATTAAGTAATTCATAAAAAAGTCAGTCTCAAGTGTCTGTAAAGAATCATTGCTGCGTTTGGCTTGCTTTGAACACCCCCACGGTGCCCACCTGGGGCCGTTCACTGGTAAATACGCACATCGTGACCTTCGCAATCTCCCGGAGTTCTGCGGGTGCTCTCTCTGCCACTTGCTGTGGGAAGGTGACAGCCAGGAACCAGAGCTGGCATGGTGAAGCTTGGCTACTGTCCTTGGCGTGGCTGGTTCGCTCAGCCTGATGGTGAGCCTGATGCAAGAGCTGAATGCCGTTCGGGGTTGCAGAGGTTTTCTGATTTCTAAAAGTAATCACAGTATTTCTAGGCTAGAAAATGGCAAGTAAGAAACGTCTTTGGTTTGCAGTATTCTGCTTCTTTGGTGTGCTGTGTTTTTTTTTTTTTTTTTCTCCAGATTTATGTAGCTGTTTTGCAAGGATGATTCAACATGGAGGAGATTTAGGACTAGATGACAGTCATGAGCAACATGCATGGTGGTTTGGTTTATTATTTGTTTCCTTGCTAGAAAACACTGAAAACATTCCTACTAACTGGATGGATGAGGGAACAACAGAAATCAGAAAGTGAGAGAATGAGTTATGCAGTGATCATAATGCGTGTTAGGAGGAACCAGATGACTAATAAACCAAGAAGGATATATTAATGCTCTAAAAATATTTAGATCTTTTAAAATGCTGTATCTTCTCTATGTACCGTAACAGTTAAATTGGCCTCCTGAGTGTGCGTCTGCATTATGTACAAACAGAATTTGTAGCAAACTGCAAAATGTGCTTGAAGCCATGTTCCCAACGATTCCCCAAGGACTTCACGTTCGGCTTCTTGAAAATCCAGATGCGGTGAATCCAGAACCTTTCTTACTTCTGTTTCTCTTTGTTGTGCTTGATACTTTGAGCTCAAGTGAACTGATTTGTTTGGGGACAGATCCAAGACCATGTGAAATTTCCAGGAGGTAAGAAAATTGTAAACTGAATCAACTTAAAGTGTTCTAAGCTACTCAATGAAAAGATGCCTGAGTTGGAAAAACAGGTCCTTGGATTTTTTTTTTTTAACTTCCATATTTAAAACTTGTGCTCAGTAATTTCCATTCTGATGTTTTCTATACTATGGCTGTGAACTTTGGTGTACTGTGGTATCATGAGGCTAAGCACTTGGAAAGCAAATGAGGTCCATCTTGTCAGTAAAATTCTTCTCTTCCAATAGCATCCTGGAAGCCTACACTTAGAGTCTTTACACAGACCGAATTCCTACCATTTCCCATGGGGACTCTGACTGCAAGAGGTCGGCAGGACTCAAGTGGGACTGTTGACATTTGAAGGAATCCTGAGCCTAGGTGACACCATACTGGAATCAGCTCCTACAGGCCCCATTTGAGCTTCTGTAATGCTTAGCATGCTCAGAGGACAGTGTCTGGTTCAAAGAGATTCATTTTCAGCTTGCACTTGGACTCCATAGCCATTAAGAACAAAAAAAGAACACCTGGCCTATGATTACAGCTAGAATAGAAGTTTGTTTTCAAGAGAATTGTGCTTTCAAATCACCAGTGAAGGGCCCCAGCTGAGAATCCGGTGTCTTTTTCCTTTGTGTTTTCTTTTGGTATCTGTTGTCCTCATTTGGAGGTGACTTGTGCCCAAGTGAGAGTCCTTCCATCATGCTTTGGTGCAAGTGCTGGAGGTGGACGAGGAGCCCCCTGTGCTCAGGTCGTCTTGCCACTTCTCCAGGCTGCGGCGCCGGGCATTCATGAAGAAGTTGCTGACGGTGGTGAGCTCCAGGCCCAGCTGCTGAGAAATGGTGATCTGCATCTCCTTCGACGGACGTTTATTCTCCTTGAAGATGGCGAAGAGCGTGCGGCGCTGGAGGTCGGTGAACACCAGGCGGGATTTCTTCTGGGAGTTGTTCCTGTCCTTGTTTGGTTCTTGCTCTTTACGTTTGCATGCTTGAAGGAAAAGAGAAGAAGGAGAGGAGTCAGGGAGAGTGGGAGAACCAGCACCTGAAAGGTGATCCATTGACAACATTGACCAGGTCGTACAAAGTGATGTAAAGCATTAAACTTTACTGTGCAAACTGCCGGGCTGTCAATACCCAGCCTTCCCAGCTCATCTGCGGGTGATGGAAGGCATCCGTTAACCATGGGCTGGGAGCCTGGGGAAGACAGCAGGGCCGGCTCACGCAGTCTGGTTGTGCAGTTGCCATTCTCTTTTTGTCCCTGCCCTCCCAGCACATCCTCAAAATTCCTTATCTCTGAAATCAGAATCTGGGAAGCGAGGGGAGACAGCAGGGCCCCGAGAGAAGCCCAGTGAGGGAGTTCCTCCTTCATGCAGCTGAGCCTGCAGAAGAACTGCAAAGTGCATATTTCCTTTTTTTTCCAAATCAAACCTTCTACCCATCACGATTCTAAACATTGCTAACAGAATCAAATTGGAAATGACAGGGTGATGGTATCATTCTGACTCAAATCCCCTCCATTCTGACTTTGGAAACATTCAAAGCACAACAAAACAACCAGGGAGGGAAAGACTCAGGGTGTGGGTCTTGTAGGTGGCAGGGCCTGGATTTGAATACAGGCATGTCTGTCCTTACCACCTGATGAAGGAAATCAGAGCGCTCTCCTCAGGAAAGGCTTCCGTGAGATAACCTGGGTAAATGTTCACTTCTGGCCTTTTCTCTTACTGGATTCCTCTAGCAATCCAGAGCTAGGCCATTGGGCAGAAATTGTTTTGTTTTCAAAGGGAAATAAATGGAGACCTGGAGAGTGTAAGTGATGGCCCTGAGACCACACTGTCTCTCCTTCATCTCTCCAGGGTGTCACCCACACCCAACTGTACCTTGAAGACACCCTCTGTGCAGGGAAGTCTGGGCTCCACACCGGGATTGTGACTGTCACCTGTGAGGTCAGGTTCTGGACTCTGTTTTCCCAACCCCTTTGGGGAACCAGTGTGCTTGACCACACTGCTACTGCAGGTCCCTGACCACCATCTCTCATCCTTGCTCCCACCTCCTGGGATGCTTGGTGCCAAGCTTTCATCTGGAGGACTCTAAAAAAACAGCGATGTGTAATAAGCTCCCAGTAACAAAACTGTGGCAAAAACCTTCTGCAAATATTAGTTGAGGTCTTCTGTCAATTTCTAGTCCTTTGGATTAACCATATAGCAATCAATTTTCATACCAATATGGATTATTTTTCAGCTATAATAGTGCTTTTAATAGGGTGATTAGACAACATGGACTTACTAAATTACATTTGGTTATGCATAATGTGTGTATATATCCATAGATATGTATGTACATGTGTATGTGTGTATATATATGTTTCCATATATATATATGGAAAGATATAAACACTTAAGAAGGTACTTCAAAAGGCTTGTGGGAAATAGGATTAAAAGATGAGTTGACATTGGTACAAAAAATCTTGCAATGTATGCACATACAAAGTCTTCCAAAAGTTCATGAAAAAAGTATATCATGGAAAAACTATGGATGGATTTTGATATTTTTTGCACACAAGATAAATTTATCTTTTAATTCCATTTTCCATGAACCTTTTGAAGTACTTGTGTGTGTGTGTGTTAGATATACTCTTAATTTAGAAGAAAAATGTTAAAGACTTAATATTCAGCAGGCTGCAGAGAAAGACTAGGTCAAAGGGCTGGTGCTGTGGTGCAGTCACTGCCTGCAATGCCGCATCCTGGATAGGAGCTGGTTCCTGTCCTGGCTGCTCCACTTCCAATCCGGCTCCCTGCTGATGGCCTGGGAAAGCAGTGGAAGATGGCCCACGTGTCTGGGTTCCTGCCACCCGTGTGGCAGACCTGAGTGAAGCTCCTGGCTTCGGCCTGGCGCAGTCCCAGCTGTTGCTGCCATCTAGGGAGTGAACTAACAGATGGAGGATCTCTTTCTCTGTGTGTAACTCTGTCTCTCGAACAAATAAATAAATCTTTTTAAAAATATTTATTTATTTTTGTTTGAAAGGCAGGGAGAGAGAGAGAGGGAGAGAGATAGATTTTACATCTGTTGGTTCACTCCCCAATTGGCTCCAGTGGCCAGGGATAGGCCAGGCTGAAGCCAGGAGCTAGGAGCTTCTTCCGGGTCTCCCACTTAGGAGAGACTTAGGTGCAGGGGCCCAAGGACTTAGGCTATCCTTCGCTGCTTTCCCAGGCCACCAGCAGGGAGCTAGATTTGAAGTGGAGCAGCTGGGACTTGAACTGGCATCCATATTGGATGCTGGCACTACAGGCAGAGACTTAGCCTTCTATGCTGCAGCAAAAAAAAAAAAAAAAAAAAAAGTCAATACAACCTGCCTGTGCCTCCCCAGGTGCTCTCCAGAGTGCTTAGATTTCACATCAGCAAATGCAAAGCTGTAGGCTGTGGTCTCCAAATGTACAAGTACAAGAGCCTAAAGTACTGAGGCAGTTGATCCTTAATTTTCCCAGAGTCCTTACAGCTGGAAGTGGCCAGCCCATGAGTCTTACAAAAGCACTGGGCCAGGGGCTGAAGGAGTATCAAAAGAGGAGGGAAATACCCACTTTGAAAGTCTGAGAAGCTGACAGATTGAATGTTGTCTGGAAGCTGGTATGAGGTTGTAGCCTCAGAATTCTCATAACATAGCCAGCTGTCCCCTATAGGCACAGGTAGAGTGTAAATGGCATTAGTATTCCTAAAAATATTCCACTCTGTAGTCAGTAAGTACCCATTTCTGAACAGCCAGGGAAGGGCCAAATAGCTCCCTACAACTCAGGGTTGTGTCAGAAACCCAACTGAAGGGCAGGCGCTCATGGGCAGTGCAGTTGGAGTGAGACTACCACAACCTTATGCTGCTCAGCTGCTCCTGAGTCCCAGCTGCTCAAGGAAAATTCTGAATGGAAGGTAAGAGGTCAGCTGGGCCACCTTAAACCCTTGGGTTTAAACCACTGAACAACCATCTCTGTGCTTGACTGGAAGCTTCCTATTTGTTCTTGGAGAATTCACCCTGATTCTTGGCTACAGTCTTATGAGTACTGGAACAATGAGGAATCCTGTCCAGTAGCCTCACTAGACAGGAGGGAACATGGCTAAGACCTAAAAGCTAAAGTCCATATTTATAGTTTTGTATTTCTTGAGGCAACCAGTGGAAGGACAGTAGAGTGGCAAAGTGGGAAGCAGGTCCCCATCAGCTCTGCCACGGACTGCTGAGCGACTCTGGTAAGTCACTTTGCCTGCTTGTGCCTGGTTTGCCTAGAGGTGATGGCCAGAAATGCTTGCTCAGGTCCTTCTGGTGAGGGACTTGGTTTTCACAGCCTTTGTCCTCTAGCTGGCGGTTTTGCTCACCCAAACCAAAGGCAAATGTGGCCTTTCCTAGGGACACCTCCTCTCACCCTCCCTCAGTCCTCAGAAGATGGCGAAAACTGCCTCCTGCCTCCTGGTGCTTCACCCCTCCCCCCAGCAGAGGAGGGAATCAGGAGCTGGGCTCTCCACCCTCCCAGTCTGGAAGCTTCAGGGTTTGGGGGCACCCAGTCGCAGTCCTAGTGGGTGTGCATGAACTACCTGAGGGAGAGAGCAGCAGGGAAGGGTGGTCTCCTAGGTCTCCAGCTTCTGCAGTCATTGGCTTCTGCTCATATCTGATCCTTCACGTGGGACTCTTAACTTCTCTCACCTGTTTTTCACGTGCTTTCGGGCCCATGCCTGTCCTCTGGCCATTGCCTTTGTCCTCTGGGCTAAGCCCATCAGGCCAGGCTCCACCTCCGAGCCACGCCCACCTCAGTCTAGGCCTGCTCAGCGCCTCCCTTTCCACTGCCACCTAGAATGTCATTTCCTATGCAGACTCGGTGAGCATGGGGATTCCTGCAGACATTGCTTTTCCCGTCAATCCTCCCTAAAGCTGTAAGCACATGGCCCAAAGAGGGGTTGTTGCAGAAAGCTTTGGGGAGGACCCTGGCCCCACAGCAAACTCAATGTCAGGCAAAGATGCTCAGAGCTGGACAAGGGGGAGATCTCCAAGTAGCCCAGTTACCTGCAGCAGCCAAGAATCAGGGACAGATTTTGAGAGGAAGGAGCTGAGGGAATTGGGGCTTCCGGGAAGCAGCCCCACAGAAGAGCTGCGGCAGACTGATTGCAAAAACCTCCCTTATGTCTACATGTCTCATAATGTGACTACAGCTCCTCCAGCAAGATCCACCTTCTTGTGGCTCTGGGCCAACCTTTTGGCTGGCTTTGGCCGATTTGTGGTGGAGGTGATGGCACGGCAGCTGTGAGACCAGGCCTCCAGAAGCTGCGTGCTTGGTGCAGGCACTTTGGCCTGCTGGGGGAGATGGCCTGTCCTAGGCTGGGCCCTCTGGGATCACAGCCTCAGCTGACCCAGCAGCTTACTGCAGATGCTTGAGTGAGTCCAGCTGAGATCAGCCGAGCATGGTCTGGATCAGCAGATCAGCCCAGCCAACTTGCAGATTTCTGAACAGAAGTAAATGTTGTCTTATGCCACCCATTTTGCAGTTCTGTGTTGCAAAGCATTACTATGCTGACAGATAACTGATATAGAAACTGAGAACACCCTTTGCCTTCCTGCCCAGGGAGGGAGTGAAGTGTGTGGTGAAAAGCCTCAGCTTGAAATCGAGAACGTGCTCCATGTTGGCCACTTATCAGCTGCATGAACTTGGGCCTCAGTTTTCTCACCTGTAAATGGGGATACTAACAGCCACCACTCCAGGACATCAAGCAGCCAGCTGTAACATTTAGCACATAGTAGGCACTCAGGAAATGTGAACAGTTTTCCTTCACAGAGAGAAAAAGAGGATGAAGTCAGGAATTCATTATTTGAAGTGATTTCTCAGGTCTTACTCAAGAGTAGATGAACTGCTCAGAGGGCTCATGGCAAAGAAAAGGTTAAAGAGCTTTGTTTTCCTTGTGCAGTTGTCTCATAGCCAATTCCCGGCCTTGTGCAAGGTAAGACCGTTCTGTGTTTTC